AGTGTTTACGTGTGTGGATCGCTGTGTGGCGTGGTGCTCTGAGCGTACCCGCACTGTAGAGAAGCAAAATCAAGTTTATGACTTACTGATAATAAATCGTGCAAACAGCGAATAAACAGCACGAAATGTGGCGCTTACAATCTATCGACTCTGTGAGCTTGCCGAGCAAGAGTCGTTATGGCAGAGCATGGTTAATAAGGGCCAGGAGTACATCAGACGAGGTCGAGTCCTTGAAGGGTCCGTCGGGAAGACTCGGTGTCGTGGTCCCGGTGAAGAAGAAGACTGAGAGCCGTTGTCCCGGAGAAGGAGTGGACTGCCAGCCACGAAGAATGGTGGGGAGGTTTATAAAGAGGTATAGGAACCGCCCCAGAATAGGATGTGATAGTTTTTGGAGGGGTTGAAAATGTAAAAATGATAATCAAGGTAAATTGAAATGTGAAAAGGGGAAATGGAAATAAGGGTTTTTAAGGGAATTAAAAAAATGGAATGAAAGACAAAATAAGGAAGTAAAACGGCTGGGAATGCAAGCGCATTCCAAAATAGCAGCAAAATGGGATAAAGGGGACGAATGTAAAATTAGGTTTTTACAGGTGTAAAAAAAAAGGAAACAGGAAAATGGAGAAAACTGTAAACATGAAGGAATGCAAATTGCATTATGATTCATAGGGCAAAAAAAGGAAATAAAACAGAAAAAAGAAAATATTATATAACTTTTATAATGAGAACACAAACTTTACATATGGATTCCGCTGTAGCACACTCTGCAGCATTTGCAATGCTTTTTCAAACTTAACAGTGGAGAAAGATATAAATAGCTCTGGCAACAACATACCAAAAATTAGATCAATTATTACATGCCAAAACAAAGGCTTACCAAATCACTGACCAGGATAATTAAAAAGTTAACAAGCAAACACCAAATCCCAAATAACGAAAAGACGTAGTTGCGTGAAAAGTTGGTAGTCGGTGCGGCATTTATTCACTTTTTTCCCCAGTAACTACGTCTTTGTCCTGTTTAATTTGAAAACATTGTGAACAATGTTTTTTTTCATCCCACTTCCAGCACGGAATTCCGGTAGATTAATAACTGGGAATGTTCGACGGTGCGATACGTTAGGAAAGCGTTACTTTTGCGAATTTCAGAGCAAGCTGGGCAGCCTCGTCCACAGATTCTGTGTTGGTTCCTGTTGCTTGTGCCTGTGTTGCCGTGCCCCCGCCTCGACCGCCAAGAACACTGCAAACTTCCGTTATCCATTCCGAAGCTTTCAGTCCTTTCTCAGCGAGATCCTGTAAAACATGGCATGAGATTACACAAGAATCGTAATGAAAAAAGTAGAGTCCTCTTGACGGAAATTTTGTTAGTGGGTCTGATTTGCTGCGTTTTTGTTCGATTTTCAACGCAAAATCAGTTAAACTCGGAATCCGCTACTAGTCATAAAAATTAAATAATTAATCGAACAGCACATCTTCCTCATCTAACAGACACTTCATCGTGACTTAGGAATGTCTACGCTCGTAGCAGCACTTAGCAATGCTTTGTCGCTTTAAGATGCTCACCAAGGGAATCTTGAAACGGCTAAGCATAGCTAAATGCTGCTGTCGAGAAAACAGCTGAGCTTGTAATCGTTTCTGCAGATGAAACGAGTGTCAGAATCGTTAGGAGGATAAAATTCCCGCGTTGAAACATTGATTAAAGTAACTGGAAAAGTTAACAGCTACAAAAAGGGAGAACCAGAGAGGTGCACATACTCCAGCGAGAGGAAGTTGATGAAAAATAACAGATCAACTTGTCTGAAATGGCTTCTTTAAATTATGCAAAAAAAAAAAAAAAAAAATTACAAACAGACTAACTTTAGGAACACGTGCAACAACTACTACTTTGCCTGTCTCGTCGTTCACCGAAAAACCCATTGTAGCAGAGGCTTTTTTCATTGATTTTAGAGCACCATCTAATACCTGGAAATCTTTTGGAGATGCAAATACTGGAAAAAAAAAGATTGGAAAATATAGTATCATCTTTGTATCTGTTTTTTTTTTTAACGATTACTTGTTCAGAATTATGATAACTGGAGTTCTTATGTTGTAACTAGGAACAGAATACTTTAAAAAATGTTTTTTTTTTTTTTTTATTTCAATAATAGCATATAAAGCAAATATTCATTCGAATATCCTAGCACACAAAATGCGATACATTAAAGAGCCTCTTAATTGTGTCAATTCTTTTACATTTCAGTAAAAACCAATGTGGGTGGGCGAAGTGTAAGTGCTGAGGGACCACCATATGTAGCGAAGGAATAGCGATATGCACATTTCTACAGAGAAATTCGCAAAAAGCGATAAAACAAACTTCTAACCGTCAGTACTACGTTAAACACCTGTTGTTCCAGCTTTGGCCGCAATAATCAGTTATAAGCTGTTTTGATAGTTTACTATGCGCTGCGGTAAAATGACATAGCTGATTCAACTGTTTATGGTGAAAAAGCAACTAAAACATATTTAAGAGATATGCTAAATAGTACTCACTTTTCCGTTCGCTCCTTTGCTGAAAATGTGTACAGTGTATTGGGCATCATCGTCCAACGAAGCATCCAATTGACTGGCTTCGCGTTGCACCTAAAAAAACATGCAATAATCAGTTAGCCATTAATTTGTCCTACTTTTATAGAAATTTTAGTACACTGTGAACAGATAAGTATAGAACTCGGTGGCGTATAGCTCAGTCACTGGAGAAGATCAACAGCGCGTCAGTAGCGGGAACGCCGTATCAAGGTAAGGAACGGATAAACCCTATCAAGCCAAGTTTCCGTTAAATCAGTATCTATCAGGCACTGATTCCTGTCGAAAACTAACTGTTTAATTGCTCGTTCATCACTGATTTATTCCCACGCAATTTATTGGATTTTATCAAATATGTAGTCCGGTAACCATTGGAACGAATGGACGAACAGCAAAGAGGGACCGATCATCGTACTGGGTGGGTGTCCAGCAAAAACCGCAGCACAATATGTTACCGAGACTATCATCAGTGCTACTTTCGACCAGTCAAACATCTGATTCTTTAGTGCATACGTCCAGAAACCGCCAACGGCTTGCTCTTAAGCAACCCCTTAGAAAAAACAGCCATCGATAGCCTTCTAGTGGATGATTGCTCCTGGTAGGTACTAATACTCAATTACTAAAAAGTGCCTTCAGGAAGAATGATTTGTGGATGAATTTCGTCTTTCTGAATTTTACCACAGCCTTTCCCTTTCTTTCCTTCGCTCCTTTCTCTTCCTTTTTCATCAAAAGCACTGAGACAGTCATACAGACAAGGTCCTGTCACAGTGTTAAGACGCATATGACTTAATGGAACCAAACGTCTTATCTCACTTCTGCCTTCCTTTCTCAATCTGCTTTTTTTTCTGCATTCTATCGCGCCCTCGTCGCTTAGGCTTCCAGAGTCAGTCTGGATGCTACAGTCAGTTCATCTGGTGTTGCTATCTACCAGCCCGAAATACCAACATCCTTTTTGCTGACTATGCTCCTGCCTTTTAGCCAAAGTAAAGGAAACCTGTTCAGCAACAGCTGCCTTTGCTTCACGATCACGAGCATCCAGGACTTTCTGAAGGCCTTTTGCCTTTTCTCGGATGGCTTCTTTGCGACAATACGGCAACTGTGTTTGGTTCACTTCCTAAAAATACTGGTAAAAACGCAAAAATTCAGCAAAAAGTTGAATATTCCTCACAATTCTGTGCCTGAAAGTGCAAGCAATTTTGGAAAATGGAAGGCAACCTCAATTAACTCGATCACTCTTCTGGTCGCCATTTTGAATCGCGCTCTATCCAAAGCAATAGTTTTGTCAGCACTAATTTCGGCATGTGCTTCATCCACTCGTTGCTCCAGGCGATCGGCACGATGAATCGCACGAGAAGCTTCAGGTCCAGTGAGTGCAACGATTCTTCGTGTCCCTTTTGCGATTGCCTCTTCAACGCTAATTACAATCTTACCAACGTGACCAACATTATGCAAATGT